TCTAAAAGTAACTGTAGCAAAGCTGACTTTTAAAGCCCCAAATAATCAAATACAACTGCCATATCACTTGGCAGAACCAACTTCTAACACTTTGTTTCTTATGCCTTCCTCTGTATCTTCCACCACAGTGCAGGCAAATCCGTTATTCCTGTTTGATAGTATTAATACCTCTCCTGAGTCAGCTCTTTTCTAAATTACTCTTTTTGACTATTTCATTTTCACACTCTGAATATGATTGAAATTTTAACCGAGCACAGTCAAGCAAATCCAGCAGAAAGACACTCTTTGCAGTCACTAGGTTATTGGTAATATATTCATTACTTGTGATATTTACTGAGAATTTGCAAGGAGCATTCACCAATGGTGAATATTAGCCTTATGCTTCTACTGCCATTCTTGTGAACATATTGCTGTTTCTGAAGAGTTGAACATGAGGAAAAATTTACTTATTTGGTCTCCTGATAATAGCACTGGATATACATATTCAGGAGAGGGTAGTTGTTATGAGATTAGCAAATATCCAAGGTGAAGAGAGTCAGGTTCCTTTGCCTCAGTAGTATTAACCAAAATAAATCTGTTTTCCTTTTACCTGAATTGACTACACCATTTATGTAGTACTTTGCTTAAAACTTTTAAAATGTCTTTGGTAATTTTTTAAAATGTCTTTGGTAACTTTTAAAATAGCTTTGATAAGAGGTAGTGGTGCTGCACAACACCAGTACTAGTTCTCTATCCAACCTGTACAGCAATAAAAATCAAGAAATGAAACATATTTTTCTATATCTTTACCCAGAGTACAAGGTCTAGGCAAAGAAAGGGCTGTGTTCCCTGGATTATTCCTAGCTGTGATTGTGCCTTAACCTAGGCTTAGAAGAAAAAATTAGATAAATACAGCATGATTTTACCAGAATTTTTTGCACGTGAGTAACCAGACATTTCTCCTTGATGACAAAATTATTTGGTAGATGATAGAGTTGGCTTAAATTTATTTTTTCCCAGTTTCAGTGGAATGAGATGTAAGAAAGTATAAGCAAAGCTGAATAAGGTAAGGATAGACTGAAAAAAGGCAAGGTGGGCATCTGTGATGGTTTTGGCTGTAATAGAGTTAATTTTCTTCAGGGCAGCTAGTGTGAGGCTGTGCTTGGGATTTGCACTGGAAACAGTGCTGGTAGCTCAGGGATGTTTTAGCTATTGCTGAGCAAAACTTCCACAGAGCCAAAGCCTTTTCTGTCCATCACCCCACCAGGGAGGAGGCTGGGGGTGCACAGGGAGCTGGGAGGGGAAACAGCCAGGACAGACTGACCCCAGCTGATCCAGGGATATCTCACACCTTATCCCACACCATATGGCTGCGTGCTCAGTATGTAAAGCTGGGTGAAGAAGAGGAAGGGGAAACATTCAGTGTGATGGCATTTGTCTTCCCAAGTCACCATCACATGTGATGGACCCTGCTCTCCTGGCTATGGCTGAACACTGCCTGCCCCTGGGAAGCAGTGAATAAATTCCTTGTTTTGCACTGTTTGTGTGCACAGCTTTTGCTTTCCCTATTAAATTTTCTCTATCTCAACCCATTAGCTTTGTCACTTTTTTTCTTCTGATTCTATCCCTCATCCCACCTGGGGGGAGTGAGCCAGTGGCTGTGTGGGGCTGAGTGAGTTACTGCTTGGGATTAAACCATGGTAGTAACACAGGAAAAAGTATTATTTAGAAATTGGAAGTATGAGGCTGGCGGGGTTAACAGCAAAGAAGATTAAGTCTGGATGTGATCCAGCTGAATACTTACACAAAGTGTTCAGTGGTCTTGATAGCTAACATGGAGCTGATCAGTGTGGTCATAATTTAAAACATTGTACAAAGAAGAATCAGAGAGTTGCAAGGAAAGAAGTAAGTGATCATCTCTGAGACTATGAATAATAGAACTGGACCAAAATTCAGTCCTGCAAAAGGTCTGTAGTGTTCCTATGTACATAGGAACACCAACAATTTGTAATGTGGATTGGAGTTCACCAGTGGAAATTACTGAGCAGGGCACTGACCACAGGGTGACAGAGCTATCCACATGGTATGTCCATGAAAAGGGCATATGTAATTATAGGCTGCACTAGAACTTATTTCCAGTGGAATGTTGGGTTTTTTTCCAACACAAGGTTCTGTTGAAAACTCACCTGCAATTCTGTGTATGATTTGTGTTATCTGTGTGAAACCAAGACAGGTTCAAATGCACACAGATACAGGGCATAGGAAAAGAGGAGGCAGGAGAAATAATAAAAGAATAGAAAAGATTTCCCTGTAAATCCGTGAGTGAGAGGGGACATTTTTGCTGTCTAGCAAAGCCCCAGAATAATCGTGGAGTGGGACAGCACTTTAAACTAACAAAAACTTGAATTAAACATAAATCTTATAAGTAGTTTAAGAAACCTAGTCAGGAAGACAGATGTTTCTAACCATTCAAAGAGTGAAGTTCTGGAAAATCCTTCTATTAAAAAAGGAACACAGAACTAATGTAGCTGGTAAAAATGGTATGCATTACTGCCTTTAAAAAAAGATTAGTGTATGATAATGGTGTGTTGTACTGGCTGTAATAACTGGGGACTAACAGCATGTAGTTCAGGCTTCTGGTTCTCTAGAATATTTTTTCTGTTATCCTGAGCATGGAGGGAGTCTACTTTAGATCTACTCAATGGATCAGCACCTCTTCTCATCAGAAAGCAGGAGTTGTAACTCTGGAACAGGCAACTATTTCCATATATTTATTTATTAACTGAGTAAGCAACTTTTTCTACAATTTCCAGAGTGATGATAAATGGTCTTAAATCTTCACTTCCAAAATTCATTTTTTATTCTACATCCATCATAAATACGCTTGGATATAAAATGGCAATATTTTTTCTGCTCATTTTTATGATTTTAAGAGGCACCTGTGGCATTATACACAATACACTAAATAGATTAGTTTCTAATATTCCAACATTTTCAAGCACAACTTACCTATTCCAGTTCTCTATTTATTTATTGTCATTTTTGAGCAATTTTACCATCTCAAGAAACAAATCCACTTTCTCTTGTTATAGTTTCTCATTATCTTTTTTATTAATTACATATTGAGTCCAATATGGTGGAAAATGGTGACTTTATAGCTACTAGTGGGAATATGAAAAAACAGCTTCATTTTGTATTAAATTCTGTAAGATATATTTTCAAAGAGGAGATATTTCCACATATTGTTTAGGTACTTAGGAAAATGCCATCCGGAGTAATATTTTGTAAGTACTATTGGAAATTGGTTATTGTTTCAAGAGCAATGGACTCTTCTGAACTAGATGGTTGTGCCAAACAAAATATCTTAAGAGGCATAAAACATTGTGTTAGGAATACTCATAATGAGGAAAACCACCTCAGAACAAAACAAAACCATGCAAAGAATAAATAAAGACCTAATTAACATCCATAAATACTTCATGTGCTTTTTTCTTATTAGCTGTTAATAATGGCTACATTGCAGAAATGTTTTCTGGATAGAAAAAGAACTAAGTGCCATGAAGGCATTTCTGCAATGATTTACTATGAATTTTGTTCATTTTGTTCAGAAACTGACCACAATTTTGTACCATGGAAAAAAAAGAAAAAGGTGGCAATAATTCGTGGAAACTGCTAACTCAAGAGAGCCCAATTAGAAGTCTTCAAAGGCAGGAGCATGGGTATCTTTTTATCTTAGGGTGTCTAGACAAGATTAACAGCATGCCTTCACTCGGGGGTGTTTCTCAGTGAGCTATCTCAGGGTTTACAACACCAATTGTGCATGGTTGAGACTTTTCCTGGGGGGACTTGAGGGGGGCTCTTTCTCACTTATATGTTTATACAGCATGACCTATGGTAAAGATCTGAAATGTTTTATCAGTACAAGGAAATGGAAGCTATGGCTCTACAGCACACAAATGGTAAACAATCTGTCCCATTCCCCACAGAAACAATGGAATGTTGTAAACCACACCTCATCACGCTTTGACAAGGAATAGGAAATAGTAATCTCATTTTAAATGCAAGTAAAGATATAGTCACCCTTTCAAGCACTTTACATGTATATGGAAGTTTCCCCCTACTAACAAAACAACGCAAATATCTCCATGTGCCCTGAACACATAGGGCAGAACATACATGTTTTTGACTTATTATGAAACCCTGAAAGCCAAAACAATGTGAGTCTATTAAGGCACAATCACTTCCTAGTAAAATATATTTTATTATTATATTTCCCCATGAACTTTTGGGGAAGTTCCCGAAAATTAAGCACCCATTGTCCAGATTGGCAGCAACATCTATCCTATAAGTAACATTAAAAACACTTCTACGTTAATATAGAAATATCTGCTTTCTAAGAGTACTATGCTCTCTCTGCTTCAATACCCAAAATTATTTTAATTGAAATGCATTCACATAATTACAATTAAATACAGTCTAGGTTGGAAAATTACATTGCAATGCATAAAGAGCAAAAAACCACCATATTTTAGGCAAACTTTTCCATTGCCTTCCACAAACTTTACAAGACACATTTTCTTATTACATATTATCTAGGTAGGGAGTAGAAACTCGGAGTAATAGAACATGGTGAAAAAAAGTTTCAGAAAGTAAAGGTGATGGAAGAAGTATCGAGTAAGAGAGACATCACCATTTAAAACAGGCAGGTGGACAAAGAGACGAGTATAAACAAAACTAAGAACGCGGGCATCCATCTCAAGAACGATGCCCATTCATAAACGCAGGTTTGAAGTTACCTGCCATGTGCTTAAACCCCAGCTGACGATGTGCTAGACTTGAGCCTGTGCCTAAAAGCAGCCACCCGCTCTCTGGGTGAGGATGGCCGGACAAAGGCGGGCTGTCTCTCCCGCTGCTCCCCGGGCAATCCCCGCAGCTGGCGGCCCGCGGCAGAACCGCGCCCGCGATCCGCGCACGGAGCCGAGGAGCGGCGGCCCCGGTACCGCGGACAGCTCCGCACTCACCGTCCTCGTTCTCGTCGAAGACGGGCGCCCTGTGGGAGTGGCCGCCCCCCATGTTAGTCCGCGGCCGGCTCCGCATCCCCCGCCGCCAGCATCCCGCGGGGCGCGCCGGCCGCACCCCGGCAGCGGGGCAGTTGCCCGGCCCGGCCGGGGGAGCCTCCGCAGGGCTAGCAGTCACCCTGCGACATGAGAGCCATCCGTCTGCCCCTGGCACAGACCGCTGCTGGCTGGCGCCCACCGACTTGGCCCTTCTCTCATCGCGGAGGGGCAGCGGAGGGAGGGAGTTAGGGAGGAGGGAGGGAGGGAGGGATGCAGGGGGGGAGGGAGGGAGGGAGGGAGGAGGCGGAGGTCCTGCTGCTGGTGGCTTCTGGTAAGCGGTAAAAGCTGGATCTACCTGGATCCTCGCGGATCCTCCCTCCTCCGCTTTTCCTCCTCCTAGACCTGCACTGGGCAGCGCGGAGTCCCCGCTCCTGCCCCGGCAGCGGGGCCAGCCCCGCGCCCTGCCCTGCCCTGCCCAACCCCCGGCGGCGATGTCTGATGTGATGAGTGGGTGCAGAGCTGCTCCTGCCCCCGGCCGGGCTGGCAGCAGCGGGTGCCCATCGCTCCCGAGGCGCGGAGAGGCGGCAGGGTGAACGCTGCCCTGTCCGGATGGCTTTTTGATTTGCCTCCCGACTGGGAGGGGGCGTTCATCGCCGGCAGCCCGGAGGGTCAGCGGCCGGCTGACCGAAGTTCGCTGAGTTTACAAAGTGGTAAAAAGGAGCGAAGGGAGCGGGTCCCTCCCGTTCCCCGGCGGGGCGGCCCCGGCAGCGCGACCGGAGCGGGCGGGGCGGCGCGGGCAGCCCGGCCCCGCAGCGCCACCTGCCGCCCGCACCAGGCAGCCCCCACGGGGCGGCGTGTCCGGGGGGAGCAGGGCTGGGGGACTGTGGGGATGGACACGGGGAAACGCATGTGTGTGCGTGTATGGATATGTGTGTGTGTATGGACACGGGGAAACGCATGTGTGTGCGTGTATGGACATGTGTGTATGTATGGGCACGGGGAAATGCATGTGTGTGCGTGTATGGATATGTGTGTGTGTATGGACACGGGGAAACGCATGTGTGTGCGTGTATAGACGTGTGTGTGTGTATGGACACGAGGAAACGCATGTGTGTGCGTGTATAGACATGTGTGTGGGGATGGACACGGGGAAATGCATGTGTGTGCGTGTATGGATATGTGTGCGTATATGTACACGGGGAAACGCATGTGTGTGCATCTATAGACATGTGTGTGTGTATGGACACGGGGAAATGCATGTGTGTGCGTGTATAGACGTGTGTGTGTGTATGGACACGGGGAAACACATGTGTGTGCGTGCATACGTGTGTGTGTGGGGATGGAAGGGGAAAATAAACGTGTGTACACATACACACGTGTGTGGGGGGAAGGACACAAGTAAATAAATGTGTGTGTACATGTATACACGCGTGTGTATGTGTGTGTAGATAGACATGGATAAATAAATGTGTGTGTACATGTATACACGTGTGTGTGTGTGTGTGTGTGTGTGGAGATGGACACGGGTAAATATATGTATATGTACATGCATACACGTGTGTGTCTGGAAATCACTCCCCTCTAAAAATGCATTAGGGAAAACTGCCAGCACCGGTAAGGAATAACACGGATCACCTGCCATGTAGCAAACAATGAGAGCTTTCTAGGCTTGCTGTTGATATTTATGAACAGAAATAGCTATATCACTCCCTTACCAAAATTCTACTGTTAGCAACTTTTGAGGTGAAGTAGAAACAGTTGCATTTGGCACTTCCTCCAAAGGGAAACAGGTAAAAACATTAAATATCTATATTAATATTGTATCCAGGTCAAAGCCTTTGTAGTTTCTGCAGGGGAAACCTGCAGACAGAAAAAAAAGAAAATCAAGTGGAAGTTGCATTTTTGGCTTCTTCACTGTTACATGGGGAGAAGAGGGAGAAGGAATAGAAGCCTGAAGCCAGGGTACATGTATTTCCATATATAGAGGCAGAAAGGCTTTACCATTCTCCTGTAATATTTACTACCCTTCTTTCAGTATAGCTGTTTAGAACAGCCCAAGAACAAAGAACTTTGAGTCTCTTTGTGTATGATTTTTGCCTGCCTTAGTTACTCTCATCACCTGTCTTTGTACCCAATATAATTCTACTATAACCTCTCTGGGAAAGGCCGATTAGACTTAAATTAAGTGGGTAAGATTCTGCGCTGTTTGGTTGAGAACTTAGAGCTTGCAGCCTCTACAAACCCAGAAAAACTGATAAATTCAGATATGGTGATATTTTTTCCATAAGCAGACATGGATATGTTGCATCACCTGCTGATGTCCTTTACTTAAATTATTTGGTTTACCATTATTTCCATGTGAAAGCATTTGCAAAAGTAGGGAAGCTTTCAAAACTTTGACCCATTATTATTCTTCTAAAATGGAGTCTGAAAAGCATGACTTACTCTTTGTTATTCTTTGGTTTATTACTCACCCATTCAAAGATTTAGTCACCCAGTCAGAAGCAGAAATAATGTCATGTTACTGAGTTTTTTTTCCTTCAGCCAGAAGACAGCAATAATACCTAGAAATCACAGACCTTCAGCTCTCTTTTGGGTTAACTAGCCAACATGGTGCTTGATATTAATCCATTTTCTTTAGCAGCAGCAAGGAGGACTGCACTTACGTTTCACCTGATAAGAGTTCCCTTCTGCCTGAGCCAAGGGCTTACATCCAGCTAATCTGACTGCTTCAATTCACATGGAAGTATTTTAAAGTGACCTTCCAAGTAATGTGAGGAGCTAGTTTGCCAGTAAGTCCCCAGGTTTATCATTTTACACACAAGAAACCCATCCATAGAATATAGATATGAGGGATGAGCAGGGGCAGTTTGGTACTCCATTCCATGCAGAAAATACTAATTCATTAAACACTACTTACAACTGCCTCCAAGCGTTGTTCTATTTATTTTTTACGTCTGACTTCCTTCACATAGACCAGAAGTCTAAGGAGTTTTCTGAGATGACTTTCTTGATCTTATATGACAAGGCCTATCATGAAAACAAAACAGTTCTAACAATTTACAGAACAATGAGTTGAATCTATCCATTAATTAGTCACTCCAACTAGACTGGTATTGACTCCTTTTTGACAGCTTTGCAATAAATATGCCCTTGATTTGTACAAAATTCTGGCTTATGTTTGAACCTTGTCATAACTAGCATGTTAAGGGATATGGAATGCTGTGTTAATGTGAGATGTGAAAAATTACCATTTAGTAATAAAGTACTGATGAGATATTACTTTTTATTAATTTATACTATTATATTCCTCCATAACTCTTGCACTTGAGTAGTGACAGACATTATCCTTCACAGCCATTTTCTATAGAAACAGACAAAAAAAAATATATATATATTCTGACAAGAATTGTTGGATTTGCTGTTCTGAAAGCAGTGTAATGTATTCTTTCCATCAATGTCTTTGCTCTGAACTAAGATGTGTTTGTATGATATTCATCATCTTCTTGAGAGGGTCAATGTTTCTGCAACTAAATCAGAAGTTGTTTACATAAAGGTGTCCAATGGTTTGAAGCTTAGATGTGTGCTCAGTGCCCAGCAAAGACTCAAGGAAACCAGTGGCAGTTTTCCAGTACCTTTGACATGAGTAGTGTCAAGCCTTGGACATGGGCTGTTTATTCACGTGGCCCTGGGTTCCCCTTTGTCCTTTGCAACCCTGAATGCATGCTAAACTCTGAACAGATGCTTAACTCTAGTATATTTTTTCTTTAAAATATTCAGAACAATCTGAATTCCATTGCATCTGCTTTAATTTTAGCAACAACTCTTCAAGAACAATTACTCATATGTTTTTCCAATTGCTTTTGTAAACCAGAAATAAGTCTGAAATTCTCTATCATAACATCATGCATATCAGTAAAGCTCTTTGAAGCCTGAGAATTCTCAGAACAATTAAATGTTTACTCTTCTGGGACAGAGATTTCTAAGCTACAAGCAGTTTCTAAGTCTTGCAAGACCAAAACCAAACCAAACTTGTCATGCTTATCTTTTCTCTGAAAAGACAATCGAGTTTTCTTGAGATAAACAAAGTTCTAAACTTAAAAACACATTTTATTTTTAGCAGGTAATGCTGCATAGCCTATGCAGAAAACACAGTAGGGAAGAAGGACAGTCTAATGGAGCTCTTTTCTTCCCCCTCTTTTCTTTCCCCCTTCCTTCTGCAATCAGCATGAACATAATTTTAAGATATTGTTTTACATTTTCATTTAAGGCCTACATTGTCTGGCTTAGATTAATAGTGATTTTTTCATATCTCCATGCAGCGTTAGCTATAAAGAAAATCAAATATGATTACACTCCTTTGCATTATAAAACTTCCCTCGGGGAATTCAGTGGTTTAAAGCCAGTAATTCTGTGATTACAACTTTTGTATTAAAATGTTTCTGATGAGACTTATGGGGTGAGGGTGACCTTACTGTTCTTGATTTCACAGCATACCTTGTTGATATGCTAATATTTGTAAATTGCAGACTGTTTACACTGTCATTTTTGTGTTTGAATACTATCCTGGAGTTAACAAAGAAGATATTAAAATAGCATATTTTATCTTTATGATTATGACTATTTTAAAATGAAAGATGATGGGTTAAAAAATTCTCTTCCTTGGAAACCAGTAGGGTCACCACACCTGTTCTATTCTATTCTATTCTATTCTATTCTATTCTATTCTATTCTATTCTATTCTATTCTATTCTATTCTATTCTTTGACTTTGCATAGGACTGCAGTAAACTCACTTTGGCTGCTCACTATGTCAGATGAAGCAGTGGTAAATCTGCTCAAAGTCTGTTTCCAAACCACATGTGCTCTCCTCTGACCCCTTTTAGATCAGTAGGATGGGATAAAAGACAGAACGTGCAGAAATCAGGCAAAAAATTTTCTTTCCATAGTTTGCTCTCAGAACATGGCCTCTGCTCATATTTATTTTTGTTTTAGAGAACTTATGCATTGTTAGTATTTGCTAAAGACCCAAGCAAGTGGCAAGAACCTGAAGTACATGCTGACAGTCTCCTAGTCCCTTTACAGGCCCAAGTGCTTGCTGCTCCCAAGAAAGGCCAGGGACTGTGCAAATTGACTGACTCCTGTTTCACTCTGGATGAATTTGTAGAAAACTCTTTCTCCTAAGACTCTATTAAAATAATGTTAAAACCCTGGAG